CACGTACAACGTTAAGAGGACACACGTACAACGTTAAGAGGACACACTGGGTTTTTTTTATCCCCCCCACAGTAAGATCCCAAGATTTCACCATGTAATCTAACTATGAACATGGGTAACAAGTGGCATAGCTAATCAATAAATCTGTATCTAACCCTGTGCTGGAAGTCAGAGTCATAGAGATGTACAGCACAGAAACAGATCCTTCAGTCCAACTCCTCTATCCCAGATATCCTAAATTAATCCAGTCCCATTTGTCAGCATTTGGCCCATATCCCTCTGAACCCTTCCTATTCATATACCCATCCAGATGCCTTTTAAATGTTGCAATTGTACCAGCCTCCACTACTTCCTCTGGCAGCTCATTCCATACATTCTGCGTGAAAAAGTTGCCCCTTTTTGGGGACAGTGAAGAGGGATCTTTACCCTGTATCGAACCCCGTGCTGTCCCTGTCATGAGTGTGTTTGATGGGGGCAGTGTAGAGAGAGGTCTTCCCAACTTCACACTGGAATGGGGGCTCCCTTAATCAGATCTTCTTTCTCAGGACACATTGCTGCTTCAGCAGGTCCTCCACATCACTCTGACAAATGTCATAACATCTGTACCAACAGAAGCAGAGATTAAATGGATGGCCAGGCATCTGGCTGAGTTCTAAGAATAGCTAATGGATACAGCTCAGCTCAGCAGGGCTTCTTTACACAGGCTGAAGAGGAAAGCTAACTTACAGGTTAATAGGTTTAGAACTTTATTCACCAATACTATGAATGGTTTGCAATTGATTGCTACTTTTATGCAATTTTAATGAACAGTTTTTTTCCCCCCCACCAAGGTAGAGTTTTTGAAGTCTCATTCCTGAATGTCAGGATCAGGAACATCTCTAAGACTTTTCAGACTTGACTACTACTTATAGGTTCTGTACTTTGTGGACACAGAGGATGATACAGATGATGAATGGGGGCATGGAAGGGGCAAGGTTATAAATGAAAGAGGCAAGGGTTGGGAGGGTCATGGACAGGATATATCAGAGACATGTAAAGGGCCTCATGGCAAGTGGAGGAAGGTGACAGCTGATGTCCTAAGCACCAAGTACAGGACATGGATGATACCCCATTGAACCAAAGGTGGCCCTCCAACCAAGCCGACTTTCCACCTGCACACTTCTGCTGCGGGCTTCCTTGGGTTACAGCAGACCCAATCCCTGACCATCCACTATCACAGAGACAAACACCCTGTGGCCGGGAGAGGATACCCCCAGATCAAGATCACAAAGTCAGGAAATGATGCATCTCATGGTTCATGACACTATGAGACAAATCCAGCCCAAAATATTTATTTGATATTGTTGTCACTTCTTTATTCCACATTGGAATTTCATCCAACTCTTCCCCTGGTGGAGCCACATTTATTTTCACTAAGCTCTTCCTGTTTACATACTTCCAAAGACATTTACAGACTGTTTTTATGTCTCTTACTAGTTGACTCTCACACTTTGCTTTCTTTTCTCTCAACAGCTTACCAGTCTTCCTCCACCAAATTCCCAATCCTCAGGCATACTATTCTTTCCTGCCCATTTTTTGTAAACATCTTCTGCTCACCATTCTCTGCTTGTTAACTGCTGTTGTACCATTTTTTTCTGGAGGTGTTCTTTTTATACCTTAAAGGAATGCATGCTTGTTGGAAATCATACAATTAATTCTTTAGATGTTAGCCAGTGTTAATCTACCATCTCTCTCAATGCGGTTTGCCAACCAACCCTAACTAACTCACCCTCAGTCCCACACAATTTGCTTTGCTCAGCTTAAAATTCTAGTTTCATACTTAACTAAAACACTTTTAAATTTAATGTTACAATGTTATTACATTGAAATTACCAGGTTATTTATTAAGCTCTTTCTCTTTGCACAATTCTAGATCTAAACTATCCTGACCCCTAGTTGGTTGATGACCTAGAAAATTCTTATACATATTCCATTCACACATACTCAACACCATCACTGCAGGTTCTGTTTGGAAAATCGAGACAAAGATGCTAACATATGAATTAGAAGCAGAAAAAGCCATTCAGCACGCTCCAGGTGCTCTGCAACTCAATAAGATCATGGCTAATCTGTTTGCTCCACATTCCAACCTACCTCTGAAAACCCTTAACCCACTTCTCAAGAGTCTCTGCCTTAAAAATATTCATGGACTCTGCAGCGACCGATTTTTGAGGAAGAGATTCTCCATCTTCAGAGAAAAACAAACCTCATCGATATTAATTGGGCGACCTCTAATTTTTTTTAAAACAGTGACCCAGGGTCTAGATTCTCCCATGAGAGGAAACATCATCTCCACATCAACCCTGTCAGGTTCTCTCAGGAACTTGTATGCATCAATCAAATCACCTCATCTAACTGGTCTAACCTAACCTCACAAGACATGCTCCAATTCATTTACATCCTTCTCTATGACTGTTACATTTGGAGAAAGGAATACACCTCCAATTTCCTGACTTATATTCTACACAACTACTGCTAGTCAGGCTTTTGCCCCTTGCTGTTAGCTTCACCCAAACTAATTGAGTAGTCCAATTATAAGCACAGATCTCTCTTTTCCTACTTTATTTATCCCATCCTTTACTGTCAGCATCAGGCATTCTTCTTTCCAATTTTGTTTCTAGCATCTAAAAATATTTAATTCCCAACATTGGGCACTTTGTAATCCCATCAACAACATATCACCATCGTGCCACCAGAGGGAACTCAAGCACAGGAGCGAAGGAGTATCTGAATAATTTGCTACAGCAAAGGAATACCTTTCAAATGGTTTTTCCTGCTCAACTCTCTCCACTGCCACACAGTCTCCAACACTGTCCCAGAGCTGGAAAACTGGTACACAGGTCTAGAGACGATTAGGAGAGCAGTTTTGGGGCTGTAGCTCCTGTACCAGAAATATACAAACAGCTGGACAGATACAGTTGCCCCTCAGTTAATCTTGAGCCTCCCTTACATCTAACGGCCAAAACCCTCAGGGTGGAAGTACACGTGTTCGGCTAAGCTGACTTCAGTCGGAGGGTGGTGGTGAAGGGTTGCTTTTCAGACTTGAGGCCTGTGACCAGTCATAAGGATCGGTGCGGAGTCCACTGCTTTTCGTCATTTATATAAATGATTTGGATGTGAACGTAGGTGGTATGATTAGTATGTTTGCAGATGACACCGAAATTGGAGGTGTAGTGGGCAGTGTAAACATTTACCTCAGGGTACAACATTACCTTGATCAGATGGGCCAATGGGCCGAGGAGTGGCAGACGGAGCTTAATTTGGATAAGTGAGGGGTACTGCATTTTGGAAAGGCAAATCAGGGCAGGACTTGTACAATTAATGGTAAGGTCCTGGGGAGTGTAGCTGAACAAAGACCTTGGAGTGCAGGTTCATAGCTCCTTGAAAGTGGAGTCACAGATAGACAGGATAATGAAGAACAAATTTGGTACGCTTGCCTTTATTGGTCAGTGCATTGAGTATAGGAGTTGGGAGGTCATGTTGCAGCTGTGCAGAACATTGGTTAAGCCACTTTTGGAATACTGCATACAATTCTGGTCTCCCTGCTGTAAGAGATGTTATGAAACTTGAAAGAATTCAGAAAAGATTTACAAGGATGTTAGATAACAAGGTGTAGAGCTGGATGAACACAACAGGCCAAGCAGCATCAGAGAAGCAGGAAAGCTGACGTTTCGGGTCTGGACCCTTCTTCAGAAAAATGAAGACATGGTGCCATTTCTGAAGAAGGGTCCAGACCTGAAACGTCATCTTTCCTGCTTCACTGATGCTGCTTGACCTGCTGTGTTCATCCAGCTCTACATCTGGTTATCTCAGGTTCTCCAGCATCGGCAGTTCTTATTATCTCTACAAGGATATTGCCAGGGCTGGAGGGTTTAAGCTACAGGGAGAGGTTGAATAAGCTGGGGCTATTTTCCCTGGAGCATTGGAGGCTGAGGGGTGAACTTATAGAGGTTTATAAAATCATGAGGGGCATGGATAGGGTAAATAGCCAAGGTCTTTGCCCCAGGGTAGGGAAGTCCAAAACTAGAGGGCATAGGTTTAAGGTGAGAGGGGAAAGATTTAAAAGGGACCTAAGGGGTAACTTCTTCACAGAGGGTGGTGCATGTATGCAATGAGCTGCCAGAGGAAGTGGTGGAGGCTGATACAATTACAACATTTAAAAAAATATCTGGATGGGTATATGAATAGGAAAGGGTGAGGGATATGGGTCATAATGCTGACAAATGGGACTAGGTTAATTTAGGAAAGCTGGTCAGCATGGGCGAGTTGGATCGAAGGGTCATTTTCCTGACAGCAAAGAGGGAAAGGAAACAGGAAAATGCTGAGACTGCTGGAAATACTCGGTATTTCTGATGAATGGTCCTCTTAGTGGAATACGGAGCTGGTGATGTGAACCCTGACACAACAATATCAGAGAGATGGAACAGTCAGTGTTAGGAGGCAGATGCTCTTTACCTCAAAGCACATCATAGTGTAAAGATCAGAATTTTGAAGAAATATTGCACAATTACACCCAAGTCACCTGTAAGTAAAAA